ATTTTCACATTTTAGATTGTTATTAACTTGACTGACTCTATAATGTTGTTATTTTTAAATAAGCTCATTTATTTTTAGCTAACATAGAGTCCTTACATTTAACTCAACATAAATATTCTATAAAGAAGTGCTATCATGCCGAAGGATAAATTAATCTATCTTCCTCCGAAATAATAAAATATTTCTATCTGTGCACAAATAGAAATTTACTTATTTGCTATGATTTTCATGGCAAATATTTGCTGTCTTACAATTCTCTTAATATTAGAAGTAATGCTAAAATAATATAAACCACAACCTTAAAAATGTTATTCTTACACATTATGATGAAGATGAAAATTACAATTTTAAAGCTGTCATATAATTACTTTAAATTGCTGTATTGTACAAATATGCAAAGATATTACATTAATGACCCTAAATATCTCATTTTTAAATGTTTGTGAGTATATTTCATAATGTATTTATTACTTCAATTATGTAGGTAATGCCCAGAAAATCTCTAGACCAGGCATCCTCAAACTATGGCCTGCGGGCCACATGCGAGTGTTTTGCCCGTTTGTGTTTTTACTTCAAAATAAGATATGTGCAGTGTGCATAGGAATTTGTTCATTGTTTTTTTCAAGCTATACTCCAGCCCTCCAACGGTATGAGGGACAGTGAACTGGCCCCCTGTTTAAAAAGTTTGAGGACCCCTACTCTAGACATTCAAGATATTTTAACAAAAAAGTAATTCTTCTGCTTTTTATCCACTTACTATATTATACAATATGGATCTAGGGAAGGTACTTCTTTTCTCAAACATGAGACTATACTTGTCTTTTAGAGATACATCCCAATTTTTTTTTAATTTAAGGTTTCAGCTATATAAAGGAAAAGAATAACTAACTCCTAAGTAGCTTTACTTTTTTTAAGCTTATTTTTCAAGAAAACCTATTAAATTTACTGATGACATCTTTATAATATAAACATAAATAAGTCTAACCAACTTAATATAGACTAGGTTCTGAGATACATATTAGGGCAATTTTCATTCATTCTGAATATTATTTTGAAACATTTCATTGTGCTGGTTGCTTTTTTTTTATTCATTCATTTATTTATTTAGTATTCTTAGTAGTCTTCTATCATACTTATTGAGGTACTCTACATTGAGCTTACTTTACTTGTACCATTGTGATGGATGGATGAAACGATGGATATATTACAATCGGCTATAGAAAAGAATGCCCACTGGTCTATTCTTCCCTGGTACCTCACATAAATCCCTGTACTTTCATTGAAAATAGAGACCCTAAAGTAAGTAACATAAGTTATAATATTAATATAATGGGAAAGGTACATCAGATACTTGGAAATTTTAAAAATCTTTTGTAAGCAACTATACTGACAAGAAAAATGATTCAAAACTGACAACTTCACTAGATGATTATAAAATTATTTTTCCCTTAGAAGTCACTGCAAACAAATACTAAAATATAATACTCTTAGCTTTTCTTATGAGTAAACACTGACCTTTAAATTCAAAAGACTTCTAAATTGTTTTCTTTATTATTGCAGCCTATTGTCAATTTATCTTCATCTCAAAATCTGCATGTATTAATGTATGCTTTCATGGCTGGGTTGTTAAAAATAGTGGCTATTGTTATAATGTTGTCTATCAATATAAATGAGTGTAGGGGTTGTTACAACTGCTTGCAGATGTTTGCAGTTTAGAATAGCAGCCACTAGGTAATGCAGAACAGTAGTCTATATCAATTCAGGTAAATGACACTAAAAAATCTCAACTATTTTAAACACAGATTAGAAAATATAAACTATTTATTTTAAAAATGGAACTATTATAGATATTAAATCACTTTTTAAAAGACAATCTAATTATTCACCTAAGAAAGATTTAAATTTATATGTTGGTAGTTCCTAACCTTTTATGTGACTCACTTTAGACAATCTGGTAAAACCATGGCCACCCTTTTTTGAACAATGTTTTATGTATGTTGAGTAAAATAAGGTAAATAAGTAGGATTACAAAGGAAACTATAGAGATTGAAATACAGACTCCAAGCTAAGAACCCCAAGTAGGTGAGAAAATATTTTGAGCTTTGCAAGTGACTGTCTATTATTAATAATTCAGTTGTTACTATTACTCTTTTGTTAAAATAACTTGAATGTCTGGAGATTTTCTGGGCATTACCTACATAATTGAAGTAATAAATACATTATGAAATATACTCACAAACATTAAAAATGAGATATTTAGGGTAATTAATGTAATATCTTTGCATATTTGTACAATACAGCAATTTAAAGTAATTATATGACAGCTTTAAAATTGTAATTTTCATCTTCATCATAATGTGTAAGAATAACTTTTTTAAGGTTGTGGTTTATATTATTTTAGTATTACTTCTAATATTAAGAGAATTGCAAGACAGCAAATATTTGCCATGAAAATCATAGCAAATAAGTAAATTTCTATTTGTGCACAGATAGAAATATTTTATTATTTCAGAGAAAGATAGATTAATTCTATAAAAATTAATTATTTGTAAATTCTTGATCTTAAAATTAAAGCTCATTCAAACTTTAGGGGGGAGTGCTCAAGTTCTATATCTCACTCACTTAAAGAACTTTCTGTGAGACTAGGTAATTTAGGCATTGCTGCTGTAAATTTTTCTTATCAATAATATTAGGTCTTACCAAATCAGACCTATTCTTACTCAGTTGTGAGAGCAGGATTCTGTATTGAACTTCTCTGTGTGTTATCAAAGTTTAAAATAATGTAGCTTTCTATCATTCTTAATTGTGGTGAGACATTTCAGGAAATTTCTACCTTCTACTGTAATTATTTTCATGATTCATTCATTAACCTATTTTATTTCATATTATGATAATTATATACTTCATATTATTTGTGGAAATAAAAATATAAGTAAAATTTAAAAGATGCTCTATGATTTTCAAACAACCTTTTCACTAAAGAGATATTTTTTATAAGAGGTATATCCTATGGAGTGACCTCTTTGCTTTATAAATAGTCCTCTTTTGAGGACATAGAACATAATAGCACATTTGAAATAATTCTTAGGATTTCACCTACAATCATATATTTCAATTATTAAACATAATTCTGCACAAAGAAGTAAAATTGTATATCTCAATATTTATTTCACTTTCTACTTGGAAAAATTGCTTGATGGGATCAGAATAAATCAGATTTTAGATAAATAAATAAAATAGATACCTAACTTTTTGTTGGGGTAGTCATAGATATTTCTCAAAGTTTTGTTATCATATGTTATTAAGTGAGATAAGTTTATTATTAACTTAAGATAAAAATTTTTTTAAATGAATGTAAAGATTGGTACTCTTCAAAATATAGGTTTTACTGGATTTCAGAAATACATGTATATAAAGACAGAGAAAGATAGATGCCTTTTTTTCTGGTTATTGATTATAATGAAGATATACAAAGATATTGCACTAAAGACATGTAGCAAACTATTGAACATATTTATTTCTAAAAGAAAGTGTTCTCTCTAAAATAGTTGTTCATAAACAAAAGTGAAACTAGGAGTTTTACACAGTGAGGTTACATTTTCATTTCTCTTTGACTAGTAATTAAAAATTTTATATGTATTTACATTTAATCTCAATAATCTTGACGTGTTCTGCATATGCTTACATGAAAACACTAAACTTACCTTAGAAAATCCATCACATTATGGTACATGGCCTTAAAATATTTAAAAATACTTTGACTTATATGTAACCCTGTGATGTTAAAGTATAAAATAATCACAAGATATGATATCTGGTAAACCCACTATTTACTTTCTAAAGTCATCGAAGTCCAAAATTGTTTGCCATATAATTCATGATATTTGGGAAATTTTGTCCTTTTTTTCTTGTTTGTTTTTAACTACTTGAATTTTTAATTATCAAAAATAAGATTGAAATAATTTATAGGTAAAGTGGAAGTCCTTTTTGTGTTAGTTTTTAGGAAGGCCAATGCTTTCTTGATTGTCTATAATATATATATTTATATATATATATATTTACATTTTTGTGGTTACAACTGGGTGGGGAAGTAATAATTTGATTTGAAATGTACTTTGGCATATGTTTTACTGTTGAGTTCTAGAGCCAAAGCTAGTATTTATTGGTTTGTCTCACAAATTGTGGGGCTAGTGTTAGAAAACATTTATTGATCCTTAGGTGTAAAAGCTTTATGATAGATTCCAGGGATAGAAAAATCAATTATGATAGGTTACTTATAACTATACTTCTTTCAATAAGGATTAAGTTTTCGTGTTAGATTTATTTGTGATCAAAGAGATCACATTGTTTTAGAATTATTATTTCAATCAACTAATACCCCTCCTGAATTGTATTGGTTGGCATAGCTAAAGTGCACTAAGATAGATGGTTCACTGATAGTTTTCTATAGAGTGATTTTTCTTGTGCATCATGTTTAAATATGCCTATAGACCTCAATGTTGCCCTGTTTCTTATAACCTCGTTTTGATTCTTTCTGTTTGAATGTTTAGGTGTATAATGTGTGCCGAAAATCTTTTTAATATCTTAGTATACTAATAAGCAGCCTCAAGGGCTGGAGAATTAATGCTTATAAAGGTTTTTTTCACTCTTCTGAAAATGTTAGGAAAAGTAATTGAATCCTTTAAAATAGAATACTTCACATATTTCACATGTTCCATCTAGGGAATTCATTCTGGGAAGCAGGCAGTTTTGTTTGTTGTTGATTATAACCGAGCAACTCCTATTATGTTCACTGGGAATTGCTATTAAAGACAAATTTTGATTCCTTAGAAACCTAGAAGTTTAGCGAGAAATTGCTTAGAATATGTTGCAAGAAAGAAAATTTTTACATACGCAATAATTTTAAACAGTTACCTTTTTCAAAATCAGTTTGATGCATCATAACCAAATAGCAGAAGGCACTAAAGATCAACTGAGCTGCTTTTTGACTAACGTTTCAGGGATTGTGAAGCAGCAGATAGACAGCCATATCACAGATCCAGATCAACAGAACAACGGCCTCTCCTTGAGCGGACCACCACCCGCTCCAGATCCACTGAACGTCCTGATACAAACCTCATGAGGTCGATGCCTTCATTAATGACTGGAAGATCTGCCCCTCCTTCACCTGCCTTATCGAGGTGAAAGATAAATCAATCAGACTCACTTCCCCTTTGCCCACCAGCACACCATTTTATTTTCCCAGCAGCTAAATGGTCTTCTATCATCTTTGGCTGATCACTAATAACAATCGATACTAACCTTTTCAATGTAAACACACTATTTATATTCAGTGGATATAATAGTGTGTGGCTACCATTGTAATTTGTTTATTAACTGTCCTGACTGCATTTGTTTTGTGATTTCTCATTAATCAAGAGTCCTGGGTAAATCCCCTCATAACTATCATGTTCTTCTCCTACAGAATGTGAAAATATGTGTGTTCATTAGACATCACTTTCCAAATAATCATCGTAATGACAATAAATAAAACTATATTTTTAGTTTCTTTCTATCAATACTAATATCAAGGATTAACCAATATTTTCTTTAGTTGAATTTTGAATTGTTCAGGGTTTTATTTGTAGTGTCATGAGATATTTTCCTAAAAAAGGGATATTTAATATAAGCCTGAGTAAAAATCTCTTTGGATCAAGGGAGGAAGGTTAGTATCAAGAGTTTGGGATCTGGTAGAAAGAAATATAAAGTATTACCTTTTGTTTTTTGAGCTGCAAAATTCTTCTCTTGCTTTCATGTGAATAAAAATGCTAATTTACATTAATAATTCCATGGATTTTACTGTAGGGCTTTGTGTGCATGTATGTGTATGTATGCATATTACACAAAAATATAAACATCTTTTGCTATTTAATCATTCAAATATCCATATTTTGTCCTACTTTCCTAACCTTTTAATCAGCAGCTAAGCCTCCTTTAAAATTGTACTTATACAGCTGTCATATGAACCAAATGTATTAAAAGTGTCATTGTACTGAAAATGAATATGAATGGTATATCTTGTAGGTCTCATCCTCGTACTGGGTCTGTTCAGACAAGCCCATCAAGTACTCCATTGGCAGGACGAAGGGGCCGACAGCTTCCACAGCTTCCACCAAAGGGAACGTTGGAGAGAAGTAAGTTTTATTTCGAATTATGTCATATGGGATATGCACATGGAAGCCAAGGTGAATAGAGATTTTCTTACTACCTTTGTGTTAGTTTTCTTCTTTTGTTAATTGAATGCCTTGGCTGCATTTCATAATAGTTATATTTATAAATATGTATTTTGCATTTAAAATTTGTAATATTAGGAGGTAAAATGAGCTATCTTTATTGCTCGTGCATATTTTTCAAATTTGAATAAATGTATTTTAAAAAGTAAACTTAATACTCTTAAATAAGCAGTTGGATGATATTTGTTTGCTACAACTAAGTTTATGTAATTGCTGATAGCTACATAAAGTTTATTAGTAACTAGCCAAATCAATTTTCACACACTGCAAAGGACTGGTTAGCTGATGCACAACAATGGTGATCCTTCTCAAAACTGGAGAACGAGAAAAAGGTAATCCTAAATATACAAAGAAAGATGCATGTTGTACTGATGTTTTTAATAATTTCAAATTTTTGCCTAAAAAACTTTATTTGCTGACACACATATGAACATACTTCCCAAACATCTGTAAATTTTTGGATAAGGGACCTCTAAAAGCATGGATAGCAGAATATAATAATTTTTAACATCATTTAATAATGATGATTTTATTTGGTAACTGGATATGCTTTGCAAATATACATATATATTTCAATCACCATTTAACTTTTCTCTAATAGACGATACTTTCTGTGCCTTTGGAAATTTCTGTTGTTTTTAACCCCTGTGCTTTGGTTCCCTTTTTTGTTTTGTTTTGTTTGTTTTATTTTGTTTTTCCTAGACAATGGAGTCAAGGAGATAGAACCTTATGAAGGTCTGTACATAAAGGAGGGTTTGTTTTGTGCTGACAGCCTTTTTGGGGGGCTATGTAAGCAAAAATAAACCCAACTGCAATTGATGTCCTTTCATTGTGTAGACTTTTATTTATTGTAAAAGGATTTCATTTTATGATTTCTGATAAAGTATTTAACTTTTATTTTACTTGGAAAATATACCAAGGAGTTAAACTTCTTTGATTCATCAAGTAAGAATGCAAAGAGTTTAACTTCTTTTAAATGACCAGATAAAGTTTGCTCTTTTTTAAAAGTTTAATTTCACTTTTAAGCAGAATTCAAGATTTTGAGTAAGATGTTAACCAAAGATATCAATTGCAGTCTGTGTTTATGTCATTGAGGATGTACACATAGTCTAGTTATATTTATCATCATATATTTCATTTTGTATTATGATGATCTTTTAATTATTAAATTTGACTTTCTAGAAAAGAAAGTCATTGAATTAGATAGTGATTGTGGTTTGTATTTCCTACGTCATTTTTCATGTTGTAGCAAAACTGCTTACAGTATATCAAAGTTAAATATGATATAGTTTTATTATCAAACACTGCAATTATGACTCGAGAAAATATTGAGTTGTGATACATGGAGTATCTATCATACACCTACTAGGACAATTAAAAAAAATCCTCTGCTAGTTTGGGATTCTGAAATTGACTTGTAACTTTAAAACATTACTTTTATTTACCAATGAACCTCCAGCACATAGAATAATGCCTGGCACATTGTAGGCCCTCAATAAATATTTGTTGAATGAATGCGTGAAATATTTATTTAAAAACTGAAAAGCCACCTCAAATAGTATGTAAAGTACTACTAAAATAATCTTGTCATTCTATATATGTTTATAGTAAAATTCATATTTCTATAACCTACTTGTAACAAATTTGTAAATGCATTGCATTTGAGCAACAATACTTTTATTGCTTTATATAATTTGTTAATATAAGTTGTGTTCTTGTTATAACTGAAGTGAAGATGATTATCAACTTCTGTTTTGTGTTTCTTTCTATTTACGGTGTACCATGATTTTGAACAGCCCATTGGTATTGTAACTTATGGTCTATTATGCTGCCCGATAAAAAGATTTCAGCAGCATTTTTATAGTTCTCAATTATTTATATAAGATTAAAGATATATAATTTTAAATTACTTTCCATAAGGAAAGTTCAATAGTAGTATTTATGGAATTTTTTTAAGGTAGAGTTTCAACCTCATTTATTGGCCTATGAATTCAGAAATCATAGTTTATGTCACAATTTTTAATATTGAATTTTAATGTCTTTTATAGCAATATTCTATTGAGATTATGTGTAGCTCCATTCTTTGTAGTAATAAATATACCAGAAAACCAACCATGCTGTTGATACTGTAAGTCAGAGTTGATGAAGTTTCTAAGGGGCTTACCAACAAAGATTCTATTTACTGTTCGGAGTTTTCCTTATAAAATCCATTAAACCCTCAATTTTCCTTTCATGTTCCCAATTGTGATTTTTCCATTTTTTTTTATTTTGTAGAAGAAAGGGGAGACAGAACCTTCCTTATCCTTGTCAGTATGAAATAAAAGCATTTTTGTTTATTTTGTTTTACTTAAAAGTATAGTTTTTTCTTCTTGTATTTCTTTTCATAAATGCTTATATAGAGACTTCAGTAGATACCTGATTGTGAATTTTCTTTAGTTTTTAAAGGAGATACATAATATCTCCTTTAGAAGTCTTCAACTTGTAACTGAAATTAAAGGTAATATAACACAAAATAGGCTTTCAATTGACAGTCTAAATCAAAGTATATTTGTATTATCTACTGAAAGTTGTCACTTGTAATTTAATGGCATTATTTTAGTATCAAAGTATTGAAATATTTATTTTCTATTCCTCTTTAACAGCTAAAATATGAATAAGTCTTAATATGCCTCTAATGATTTTGATTAATTATTTTATATTTTAGTCTGTTAATTAAAATAATTTAAAATTATATATATTTGGTCCTGACTATGGTACTATATTTAGTCATTTCTCTTTGCCTAGGACCCAAGAAATAAAACAAGGGCAATATAGAAAGTACAGTATACTAAACAACTGTAAGGTATTATTGTTATTATTTTATGTTTTCCTAATTTCAAGTATTGCCATTTAGTAAAAATAAAAGAGAGTTTAGAATATCCTTTTTTGTTTTTCTCAAAGAAAAGTTATGTAACTTTTTAAATAATATTCTAAATATGTAGACTAAGTACTTTTGCCTACTTTACCCAGTTATTTACATTTTGCAAATATTTTAGAGATCACAATTTCTCCTTTATAGATCAAGTCATCATAAAAGTAGACATTAAGATAACATGTCAAAAACTCATTAAAAACAATCTATTGGTCTCCTTATAATCACCCATTATATCATGAATAATTTAGAATATTTTTGTTTTTTTTTTTCATTGAAGAATAACAGATATACCTATCTGTTCTTATTTTTTCTTTACTTTTACTCATGCAAATACAGAAGTTAATGAAGACACTGGGCATGTGGAAGAGCAGGGGGGAGAAAAGCAGGGAGAAGAGGTCAAGGCAGGTCTGTCTGTGTGTCTAAAGTAAATAAATAAGTGTTACAAGTATGACTTTTTGATTTCACGTAAGACTTTAGTCTCAAAATTTGTAAATGCACAATAAAGAATAGATTGTTTTCCAGTACTAACTTTAAAATAAATTTATTAATGAATAGAAATTATATAAGCTATCCAGGCAAGTTATCAGATTATTTAATTTACCCAATTGTTGAATATTTTCCTTAATGTTTAAATAAAACTGGAATTATACATAGTGCCTTTGACCAAGAGATATACCTATCCTTTACCCAGCTTTACATTCAGTTCATTTATTTATTTATTCAAAAATGTTTATTGAATACCTGCTATTATAGAAAACTATATTTTATAATGTGTTATGCTGAGTAAAGGTTTGTTGAAGCTCTAGCCCCTTCTCTCAAGGATTTTGAATCTAGTAGAGAGAAATTATAAGGAAATATAAAAAAGAATATAAATCCAATTAAAACCTTTGGAGACCATGATAAATTTTTCTCATTATATCTCTTCTAAAATAAAACAATTAACTATAGACTCCTCTTCCTCATCCTGGCTCAGTATTACTCTAACATTTATTGATAATCATAATCTCACTAATAGAGTCCTCCTTCTAAATAGTATACAACCTTTCATGTCTCGTGTTTATAAAGTCCTTATTATGTTTACATATTATGTTTATCATTTTCTTTGTCAAATGTTCCTATAAGGATTTTAAAACTTAAAATATTATATAGTGAGAAAATATTTTTATATACTTCTTTTATCAAATTTTCACTATTTTTATTTGAAACTTTGAACTGAATCCTATTCTTCTCTCAGCTGGCAATTTATTTTAAATTTTAACTTTCTTGGAACAATGCAGAATATTTTTAATTTTCTCAAGTGTTTAACTGATCACTTTTTATTAATGAATAGTAGAATGTACTTTATGTGCCTTTGTTCTCTCCTTGCCATAGTGTGAAAGCAATACCATTATGTATATGGTACATGAGATGCATGTTCATAGTACAATACATTCTATCAGTGGAATTTGTAGGTTTTAAAACTGAAAACATCTTAAGCTAAAATTGCTAATTATCAGTAACTTATTAATGTCATAAAAATGAAAAAATCATCAGAGTACCTCTGATACTGGAAACAATGCAAGTTTAATTGTGTATCTATAGACAAGTATAACTATTTCTGTTCCAAATATGTAGTATTCTTATCACTAAAATGTCACACAACTTCCACTTTCCTGAAATGATATAAGAATAACATTTTTAGCAATGAATTTCATTTCTATTAAGCTGTTCAGTTAATGTTTTCCTATTCACCCATTCTTCTATATCTTATACTAGTCCATGCAAATACTAAACTTTTAAAACTGTTAATGAATTGGCTTCCACAGTAAAGTTATTTTTTAGGATAGCATTAGTTTTGGGACTTTAGCAATAGTTAATACCAATTTTATTTATTTTATATTCATTAAGGTAAAGAAGCTCATTTGTTGAGCCAGTTTATTGCCTGTATTTTACTCTCAAAATTAATTACAAAATTGCATCAATTCTTAAATTAGCACAAAAGCATAACTAGAATATAAATAATATATTATTATATGCTATAATATTTTTATATTCCTTGTGTTTGTTTTTATCACTTTTCCTATAGGATAGGAATTATATACTTTACTCTTGTGTTCATTAATGTGAAGTATCATGTTTAGTGCATGGGTTTGTTTTCCTAGTGTGTGATTGCATTTTTTTTGATGTGCTTGGTTTTTATTTGGGTTGTTTATGACCTTAATTATTAATCACTGTTGTCTGTTTTCAATGTTATAAAGACAATGAGGGAGAAACACCAATCCCACCTAATAATGGGAAAAAAGGCAAGTCTAAAATGAAGTTAATATTGCCTTTCTATACATTAGACATTCTATATTGACCTTTATAATGTGCTTGAATATGCTTTCTTAAATTAAATAAGCGTAAATACAAGTATTAGTCCCAATTTAAATTATCCAATATTTAAAATATGTGTTCTGTTTTTTTAAATTTCTGAATATAAAATTAGTCTTCAAAATACTTAATGATCCAAGTACAATCTCATTTTATTGAAATGTATAGCATTAAAATTGGAAGATTTGCTTTATTGATGATGTTAAGGGGCAAGGATTTGAGGAAAATAGTGGTGGTTATGTTGTCATGCATTTAGAAGACCACAACATGGATATTTTTCATTCCAGGAATTGTTTTAAAATTGTATTATTTTAAAAATGTATTAAAGCAGAATTTTAAAGCAGAAAATGAAACAAATGTAATTATAAGTCCAACAATAATCTTAAACGAACATTTATGATTGTGGATTTTTCATGGTTCTTTATACATTTCATAGTTCTATAGTCCTTTATAAATTTCGTAGTTCAAT